TTTTTAATTTTTTGATTTTTAGGTGTTTTTTAGCCATTAGCTTTGCACAGGCAGACTGCTTTTTGCACAGGCAAACTGCATGCAGTTTGGCTGTGCTCAACCTAATGGCAATTTTTTTTTTGTGGAATTTTTTTTGCCACATGCAATAGGGACAAACAAACACTAAGACTCACCTTAATGGCAATTTTTATTTTTTTTTATTTTTTTTTATTTTTTTTTACCACATGCAATAGGGACAAACAAACACTAAGACTCACCACCCCACACTCAGGATGGAACATTGTCCCTAATGTTCAACTCCTAATCTAAACATGCACGGGTTTGACACAACTAAAAAGAAAAATAAAGAAAAGAAAACTTACCTTGGGTTGCCTCCCAAGAAGCGCTTGTTTAACGTCCTCAGCCTGACGTTTATGGAGCTTTCAACCAATGGGTATGGAAAGGTATCCAGAATACCCTCCCGAGCAATGATAGAATGCATAACCTCCATCCAACATATGAGTCACCTCTGCAGGGCCAGGTGTGCGAAAATTTGGTGTGACCTTCTTAGTTGGCATGTTGGATCCTTTAGTGAGGCGTAGGTGGTACTGCAAGCGCCTCAAGCAAGTACTCTTCCTGTTTCAATGTCAGTGAAGAAGGAATAATAACAGGAAGATTGAAATCCTTACCCAAATATCTATATTTGAGGTGACCTGGCAAGGATTTCTGCCCTTGGTTTGATTTCAGAATCTGAGCAGATAGGATAGGTGATAGTTCTTCGGATGGTCCACTATCACAGGAAGAGGAATTTTTCCTTTCTCGAGCTCCACTTTCAAAGTCATCAAATGCATCGTGATTATGATCAACTTGAAAGACATTAAAAATTTCCTCCTCCTTACCTACTCGGAATGTCAACTTTGCCCTCTCCCAACATCGATGAGTGCATCTACCAGTGGCCTAGAAAAGGTCTACCAAGAATGAGAGGCACTCCCCGATCATCTTCCATCTCCAGAATCACAAAATCTGTGGGGATAATAAACTTCCCCACCTTCACCAATATATTCTCCACCACTCCCTTTGGAATTTTCACTGATCGATCGGCCAATTGGAGAGTGATCCGAGTAGGCTTAAGAACATCTCCAATCCCAATTTCTTGTAGACTGAGTATGGCATTCAAATTATTCCTGCTCCAAGATCACAAAGTGATTTATCGAACTCTGTACCTCCAATGACACATGGAATGGTGAAACTGCCCGGATCATCCCTCTTTTCTGGTAATTTATTCTGAATCACAGCACTACATTCAGAAGTGAGGGTTACCTTCTCCAGATCAGCCCATTTGCGCTTCTTTGTCAGCAACTCCCTTAAGAATTTAGCATATGTAGGCATCTGTTCAAGTGCCTCCGCCAACGGTATGTTGATATGAAGTTGCTTGAAGATATTCACAAATTTCTTGAAGTTTGGGTCTTCCATGGGCTTCATTAACCTTTGTGGGAATGGTGCGGGAGGTTCATAAGGCTTTACCTCTTCGTTCTTCAATTTTTCCACTTTTTGAGGTACACGGGCAGATTGCTTTTGCACAGGCAGATTGCATGCAGTTTGCCTGTGTAAGTCAGATTTTTCAGCTTTTGCACTTTCTTCCTCTGCAGCTCCTTTGCCCTCCTTTTCTACTGGATTTTTCTTGCTCTTTGGATCCTCCAACTCCTTCCCACTCCTCAATGTGACTGCTACGACCATGGCGTCCTTCGGATTCCTCTCAGTATTTAGCTGGTAATGTCCCAGGAATCCTACCTTGAATATCTGCCAAAGTTTGAGCCATCTGGCCCTATTTGCCTCTCCATAGCTAGCATAGATGATTGCATATTATTGTTGATGGCTAGCTGTTGAGTGACAAATTGATCCAGACCCTTCAGATTATTGTCGGTTTTCTGCATGTGAGCCAGAAGCAATTCTTCAAGTTGTGGTTTCTTCTCTGGTTGAGGTGGAGGTTGTTGTTTCTGCAGGCCTGGAGGTGGAATGTTGCGAGCACCAGCTTGGGTTGTTGTTCGCCCAGGAAAAGTTAGGATGCTTCCTCCATTGCGGGTTGTAGGTATTCGAAAACATACCACCCTGACCTTGATTTCGCTGATTGTTGCTATAGTGCACATCTTCCATATGATCAGCCACCAGTGGACATAGATCCCTATGATGAGCACCTTCACATAATTCGCAATAAGCCATCTCCTCCTGTCTACCAAGAGCCAACTTAGCCAGCCTTCGTTCGAGTGCATCGAACTTGGAGTCCAGCTTAGCATCAATCTTTGCTTCTAGACTTGCAACTCTGTCTATCTCATGCAAGCCTCCTCTCCTCCGAATGCCGGTCTCACTTCCCCATTCAGTATCTTCAGAGCATATCTTCTCCACCAGTTCATATGCTTCTGGTGCCTCCATTCTGGTGAAACCATTCCGGGAAGCATTATTCAGAGCATCTCGGTATTGTCTTCTGATTCCGTTGAAGAAAATGGAGATCACGTTCCAATCTTCAAGACCGTGGCTCGGGCATCTCATTAGAAGCTCCTTATAGCGCTCCCATGCCTCGGTCAGACTTTCATCCTCAGCTTGTTTAAAAGTGACAATTTCCTCTTGCCTCTTCATTGCCTTGGCCGGAGGAAAGTACTTATCCAAAAAGGTCTTCTCAAGCTGACCCCATGTTGTGATGGAACGGGGTGTCAAGTTCTGGAACCAATGTGATGCATTCCCTAGCAGAGAAAATGAGAACATCCGAAGACGGATGGCATCGTCAGACACAGCCGGGCTCTTCATTGTGTCACAAATGCTTGCAAACCGGCGAAGATGTTCATGAGGATCCTCGGTGCTAGCCCCTGAGAAGGTGTACCCATTAGTGATCATATTGATGAAGGCTGGGGTAATCTCCATGGTTGCATCCCCAGCCGGAATGACAACACATGAAGCCCGGGCTCCAGTCCTCCGATTCAGACGAGCCCTGATCGAACGATCCTGTTCTGCCATGATGTCCGGCTCGATGATGCGCGGTGGCGGTGTCGGTGGTGTCGGGATGACAGGTGGTGAAACCTGCCTTCTCGGTTGACGATTCTGGGTTAGGGAAGGCCTAGGAGTTGTGGATGTGGTAGGCTGCTTTCCTAACTTGACCTGCTTCCTGTTCTGTCGGCAGGTCCTCTCTATCTCTGGATCAAGTGGCAGTAAATTGCCAGTCGTCCTCCTTGGCATGCACAAAGAGGATAAACCTGAAAAATTCACCTGCACACTAACACCCAGATCAAAATAGTTCACTCACAAAAATCAATAAAAAACAAGGTATGGCAGTCCCCGGCAACGGCGCCAAAAACTTGATAGGGCAAAAGCGTATAGCTTCAATTCCTATCTTGTAGTAAAACCGGAAAGTCCGGGTATCGTCTCTCAGGGACTGGTACAACCTTATGATTTATCAATTCTGTGGAGCAAACTATAGGTGAAAATGGTTTGGTTGATGAGATTATTAACTACTAGCAAAATAATTAAACTAATTAAGCAAAGTAAACTAGTCGGGAGAAATTCAATGGAGAAAGCTCTGGGAGAAACACCGGGATTCACTACCTATCCTATCCAGATTAACTCACATATTCCAATCAATTTAATCCATATCTCTACAGCCAGGATATCACTACTGTGTTAGCTATCCCTGTCGGGAATTACTACGTACTAAATAATCAATTCAAATCCTACTGTCATAGCTCAATGAATTAATTATTTAGCCTGAAGACCGATATCCCAATTAAGACCGCATAGCACCTTATTTAATCCACTGTCGCTTCGATAAGTTACTATGTCACATGAAATAGGTTCAGTTATTAGGGTTTCACTGTCGCTAATAAACTAATTAACTACGATTCATTGTATTGGTGGCCAGTCAACACAAAGCATTAAGCAATTTCATGCAATAGAGATTGGAAGAAAAGGATCATGAATCAATCCATCAAATCAAGAACTAGCTACATCCTATGGTGTTTCCCCCAGAAATTGGGGTTTAGTTCATGACGAAAATAAAACAAACAATCATGTTCATAATCATCATGTTACTAATCACGAGCGAAGGAAAATACTGATTTTGAATTATGCACTGCGACCTCCTGTTCCGCGCTCCGCTCGCTGCTGCTCTCTCCGTCCCAAAAGAATTTCCTTCTGAGAATTTCCTCTGCCGCTTCGATAACCCTTTGTTCCGTCCCAGAGAATAATTCCACCTCCCAGCTTTTTTCCTTTTGTCCAATTCATCCCCCTCTAATAATTTTTGTCCGTCCAAATAATTCCTTCCACCCTCACTAATTAATTTCCCAAAAGCCAAATCCGTCCCAAGCTCTCCAAACCTTTCACGCTGCCACTTCCGGCCCATTTAGGCCCAAAACTCCTCCTAGCCCAAGTGAGTATTTCACCAGTGATTCGAGTCCGATTGATTGCTTGTGCACTCGCTTATTTTTCGTGATTTCTCCACCTGTAACATATCAAACTCATGGCACTAGACAGTAATGGTTTTTCAACCATTTCTGGGTTAGCGAGCCCTAAAATAGCACCAATCGGCTTAAACATATCATGGATAATCATATAAAGTCCAAAAATTCAATATGTTAAAGCCGAATATCAGCAATCTCTCACGATGAGGAATACATCGAAGGGTGATTTTAAAATGTCTTTAGGAGTCTGTTCGGGTTTGTCTTTCATTTTCATAAAAGGATTTTAGTTGACGAGTCAGTTACAATCTCGAAAAGTACTATGAAATCGATCATTTTGAATTGTTGAAGTACTTTAATAATTTCAATTCTCTTATTCTACCAATCAATTTGAATATTTTGAATATTTAAATTATTTTATAGTTTCTTATACTATCAAAACGAAAGTATTTCACATACAATTTGATAATGTTGTTTACGTAATTGATTATTGAAACCGACCAATTGGCTGGGTCCGTGACTAGTTGTACTAAATACTTATTGAAGAGAATCCATGGCTTAGATGTTTACCTGCTGGAGTTGGTTAGCCATAGGCATTAGATTTTATTAGATGCTTACTACAAAAACCTTCCGTGTCATATTTGCTATAACAAAATTACATAAAGTTTAGCACCAGAATTACTATTTACACAATCGATCCAATCATCTAAACTACAGCCCTTTAGCTACTGCAGCCTTATCCCAGCTTTTCCAGTTCTTGCAGTTTTATATTATTGTTGCTCATATTCAAAAATGCCGGCTTGCTCTTCGACATTCTCCACCAGAAGCTTCAGCAATGGCACCTTTAACAGTGTTCTGCACGAACCCACCATGATCAACTCCTTCTGCACAATGCAAAAACCATTTGTGTAATTGACCTGAATCCTGTATGCACAGACATATGTTTCTGTTATTTGCTACCTTGGCTCTTGTGATTGCTACATTGATCCGATGCCAGTCTCCAAGCAGTGAAGAACTGTGACTGCCAGGATATTGACCGGACCGCACGAAAGAAACAACTATGCAGCATGCATGTCTGTGTTGATGAACACCACAGCTCTGTCTGGATTCAAGGCCTGCATGGAGACAAATTATTCAAATCATACTTGGAAAAAAGGAAGAAAAAAAATCATGTGTACATGTTTTTATTACAATGATGAAAGGATACCTGACTCTGCAAAGCTGAAATTGCTTCAGGATGCGCTTCACAAAAGCTTGCAGAACAAACTTATCCCCATTCCATTCTCTCGAGCCTCTGCACTCTACAAATTGATTCATCAATCAATCACTTGAATGAGATATAAGATGTCAGTAGCAAAGTGAACCAAACTGGATGAAGACAAAGGTCTGAACTTTGTTTCCTGAACAAGTGAGGGTAGTTGATAGTGATCACTAGAGGTGGCAATTGGATCGGATTCGTGGATTCGTGGATTGGATTGGCGGATCCATGGATTAAATGGATTGGATCCAATGGATTGGTGGATTCATGGATTGGATCAAATGGATTGGTGGATTGATCCATGAATCCAAATAACATCCAAGGCTAAGACCAAAATGTAAATTTTGAAAAGTTTAGGTACTAAAGTGTCATAATTAAAAAATTTAGGTACCAAAATGTAATTTTCCAATGATTTTTTCGTATAAAAATATAAATTTTAGGTACCAAAATGTAAAATATAAAAAAATAGGTACCAAATCGTAATTTGCCATTTGGATCCATGGATTGATCCATGAATCCACCAATCCAATTGGATTTGGATCAAATGGATTGGATTTAAATGGATTGGATTTGGTGGATAATTTGATGGATGGATTGGATTGGATTCATGGATTTGGATCCTAATTGCCACCTCTAGTGATCACCAACAAGAACACAAGTCGAACCAAACATCAAAGGTCCAAGTGATATCTGTCATGGACAGTAGATCCATCAGTCATTAAACTAAATAAGCTTCATTTTCTTACTTTCAACAACTGTTTGCATTCTTCAACATAATCAAAACCTCCCACTTGACACATACCATGAGAGTGATCTGCCCAGCTTCATCCATGATGCAAACATCAAACTTCTTGCCAGTGAGCAAGGAACTAGTAATTCCCAGACAAGTGACAGCAACAACTTTCACCTGGTCTAATCTCGGCTTGATATACTCCATGCCCATGTTATCTGTTTCTGTATATTAACACAGCAGCACACAACTTTCTATGAGAAACAGCAAAAGGGCGACTCTTATATAAAAGTAGCAAGTGACAATGATATTTCTGTTTGTTTACCTGCAAAGCAACTTCCTCGGACTTCCTCATGAACAGAGCCCTGCAATTTATCACATTGTTTAATCTTCTTACATAAAACAAAAATGATCATATCCATTCCAGGTAGGATGGGCCAACCAGACAGACATGATTAATCAGAGTCCAATGTTTGTTGAGAATTGACTACCAAAATTAATATTTTTAAACAACAGATGAGAAAGTGGCGGCAACCCACATTGTGGCATGATGAGACCCACAGCTCAACCATATGACAACCACTTATGAATTATCTACTTCATTGCCAGTTTTCTGTTCCTGAGAAACCAATAATTCCCTTCCAAAAGCTTGTCCCTTGTTTCTATTATACCATCATCAATGGCGGACCAACATTCCACTTCCCACCTCCACCGTCCGCTTCTGCCCACGCCCACCGTCGTCTCCACCGCCCGTTTTGACAACAGAAATTTCTTCTCCACCAATTCTGATGTCTTCCTCCGCCTGGCATTAATCCTCTCCGTCGGGCTGATCTCTCTATGGGCCAACCACGAAGCATCTAAAGGCTTCCAAGTCCAAATCTTTAACGATGCCAGAGACTCTCCGGCTGGCAAGCGATTCGACCTCTTCTACATCTCAAATGACCGAGCCACCAGAATTCTCCTCAACGCCAGTACTTTCGTCGAGCACTTGGTCTACGCCCCAGAAGACCATCCAAATCAGAAGAAGCCAGTTCACAGGGTCGCCCTCCGTCTTGCCTCCACCAGCAACCTAACCGCTGATGAAACCGTCACGAACCACGGAGGCAAATTTGTCATCCGATTGAGTCCGTCCCTGATCCAAGGTCTGACTGCCGGGAGCAGAGACTCTGCAATTGCTTCCGCCGTCTTGCGAGGCATGGCAAGAGTCTGGTTGTGGGACGGCGGGGAGGAGTCCAGAGCTCCGTCGTGGGTGATCGAAGCTGCCATGGAGTGCGTGAGCAGAATGGCAGGTTTCGGCGTCGGTGGTAGCTGGGAGGAGTTGCCGGCGGAGAACGGTGGCGGCCGGCGGCGGGTGTGCTGGGGGGAAACGACGGATGCTAGGATGCTCGCGGGAATTATGGAGCACAGCGAGCGGCATAGCAAGGGATTCATATTAGAACTAGCAGTAGCTAGGGTAGAGAAAGGAAGAAGAAGACGACGGCACAATTGGAACGCGCAAGAGGAAATTGATTCCCTCTGCTTTCATTTTATATCAAGTTCACCCAGCTTCTGGTTCACGTTACAAAACAGTAGAAATGGAAATGCAGAAACAGAAATACAAATTGACTGTAAATGTAAAGCCACGTGTTGTGGCGTCATTCGTCTCGGTTGGTTCCACCCAACGGTAAGTAAATGAATTCAGCAACGGCGTCGTCTCAATCCTTCTACTAAACAGCTGGATGGAAGGGAACCCAGAAACGTTTCCGTTTCTGGGTGGCGTTTCTTCTTCAAGACTTTCACTCCTCTGCTGCTTCATTGTTCTTCGACTGCAACAGAGTATCAGCTCCTTCTTCTTCAGTTAATACTCCCCCACAAGCTGGCGAGTAAGCATTGTGCACTCCCAGCTTGTCCAATAGAAATTTCAGTCTGTAACGTGTCATCCCTTTCGTGAACAAATCTGCTACTTGATCATCTGTTCTCACATGGAACAATTTTATCAGCCCTGACTTTAATCTCTCTCTGGTAACATGGCAATCGATCTCGATATGCTTTGTCCTCTCGTGAAAAACGGGATTCTCAGCTATATGCAATGCAGACTTGTTATCGCAATACAAGGGAATAGGAAGAGGAACCTTGATTCCCATTTCTGACAGCAAATTTCTCAACCACTGAACTTCACAAACAACCTGAGCCAGAGCTCTGTATTCTGCTTCTGAAGATGACCTGGAAACTGTAGTTTGCTTCTTAGTTTTCCAAGTAATGAGAGAAGTTCCCAAGAATGTGCAATATCCAGTCAAAGATCTTCTGGAATCCGGGCAACTTGCCCAATCAGCATCACAGTAACCAGATAATTCAAGTTTTGCATCAGCCCTGAATATTAAACCTTGACCAATGGTATGCTTTACATACCTGATCACCCTGTGTGCAGCTTGCAAGTGCTCACTGCAAGGTGCTGATTGGAATTGAGCAAGTTGCTGCACAGCATAGGTGATGTCTGGTCTTGTGATGGTGAGAGTGAAGCTTCCCTATGAGGCGTCTGTAGACACTAGGATCAGGAAGAGGTTCACCTTGTTCTGCAGAAAACTTCATATTGCAGTCAACAGGAGAAAGGCAACCTTTTGCTTCAACAAAGCCTGACTCCTCCAACAGCTCGAGACAATACTTTCTTTGACACACTGAGATCCCTTTATGATCTCTCATAACCTCCAAACCAAGAAAGTATCCCATTTGACCCAGATCTTTAACTTTAAACTCCTTGCTCAGAAAGGTCTTAAGCTACTGAATGTCCCCAAGATGACTTCCTGCAATCAAAATATCATCTACATACACAAGGACAACCACCACTCTTCCTTGAATCCACCTCACAAACATTGAATAATCAGAAGCAGTTTGTGAGTATCCATTTTTCAGCAAGGCATTGGTTAGTTTAGAAAACCATTGCCTGCTTGCCTGTTTAAGTCCATATAAGGACTTTTTGAGTTTGAAAACCAGACCTGCATCCTTAGGAACATCCACACCTGGAGGGATCTCCAAGTAAACCTCTTCTTCCAAGTCACCATGCAAGAATGCATTGGACACATCCATTTGATGGATGTGCCAATCCTTAGCTGCAGCCACTGCTAATAGAGTTTTCACAGAGTTAATTTTGGCTACTGGAGAATAGGTGTCTAGGAAGTCTATTCCATAAATCTGAGTGTAGCCTTTGGCTACCAACCGAGCTTTAAATCTCTCAATTGCCCCATCTGACCTATACTTTACCTTGAAAACCCACTTAGCACCAATAGGTCTCTTACCTGCAGGAAACTTCACAACTTCCCAAGTCTGATTCTCATACAATGCAAATATCTCTTCTTTACAAGCCTGTTTCCAACGAGGATCTTTACATGCCTCAGCATAAGTGGTTGGTTCCTCAATTGACAAAACACTTAGGGCAAAGGCTTTCTGAGAGGCAGTAAGATGATCATATGCTACCTGGTGAGATATATGGTGTTTGCTTTTGGTAGTTGCCATGCTCACATGATAATCTTTGTGCCAAATGGGAACTGAACGATGCCTAGTTGATTTTCTTATGAACTCAGCCTCATCAGTGTCATTGTCATCAGGAAACACTTCTATCTCCATGTCCTCCCCCTCAAACTGCAAGCTGATGGGGGGAACATCCAATGAAGCAGCAGGCAGTGCAGAAGAATCAGGAGAAGAAGTGGGGAAAGAATGAGGGAGAGAAGAAGTAGAAGTGGAAGGATGAGATGTATTTGGACTAGGAAAAGAAGTGGAAGAAGCAGGTTGAGTAGCAGGTGAAGTAGAGGTAGTTGGTGACTGTGTAGGTAATACAGGTTGAGGAATTGAGGAATGCTCAGCAGCAGGGACTAGAGAAGGTAAATCAGGTGTGATAGAATCAGGAATAGAGGAGGAATTGGTTTGAGGAGAGTGGAAAGGGAAAATGGACTCATAGAAAGTCACATCCCTGGAGACAAAGTAAGAATGGTTGTTAAGATCAAATAGTTTAAAACCCTTGATCCCAGTGGGAAAACCAAGAAAAATACACTGCCTGGCCCTTGAATCAAACTTGGTTCTATCCCTGTGAAGAGTAGAAGCATAGCAAAGGGATCCAAAAACCTTTAGATTGGTGAGAGAAGGGGGTTTGTTGTAGAGAAGTTCATATGGAGACTTGTTGTCCAAAACTGAACTAGGCAATCTGTTTATTAAATAAACAGCATGTAACACACAGTCACTCCAAAATCTGAGTGGTATGCCAGATTGGAAACGTAATGATCTGGCCACATTGAGGATGTGCTGATGCTTCCTCTCAACCCTGGCATTCTGCTCAGGGGTCTCAACACAAGACTGCTGGTGAATGATTCCTTTTTCAGTATAAAAATCTGCTAGATGAAATTCTGAACCTTGATCACTTCTAATGATTTTCACAGACTTAGAGAATTGCCTCTCAACCATAGTGCAAAAACTTTGCAAAAGATAACCAGCTTCAGATTTATACTTCATCAAAAACACCCACACAGCTCTAGTGAAATCATCCACAATTGTCAGAAAATAAGCATAACCTTCATGAGACTTAACTGCCAAGGGACCCCAAATGTCTACATGGATCAAAGCAAAAGGTTCAACTGCTCTACTGCTACTGACAGGAAAAGGAAGTCTTTTGTGTTTAGCAAAATGACAAATGGAACAATGAGAAACTACAGTCCTATCACTAGGCAACAATTGCTTCTCTTTGTCCTTGCTGGGATGCCCTAATCTCCAATGCCAAAGCTGAATCTGATGAGGCTGGAAATTGTATGAAATGGCTGCTTGGGGTGTAGGAAGTATGGGTGCTTTGGCCTTGGTGTGTATTTGATATAATCCATTACTCTGTCTTGCCAAACCAGTCCTTCTCTGGGTCACCAGGTCCTGAATTTGACAAGAATCAGATTCAAAGTGTAAGGATATGGGCTGTTCATTTGTCAATTTGCTAACTGAAATAAGGTTGAAGGTGAAGCTAGGCACAAGAAGGACATTGTCAAGAGACAAATCAGGGGACAATTGGACTTTTCCTATGTGACTAACCCTCACTTGACTTCCATTAGGCAGGTATACAAACTGATCACTAACTGGTATGTACTCAGAGAACAAACTAATGTGGCAAGCAATGTGATCAGAAGCTCCAGTATCTAGGATCCAGCAATGACTTAGAGATTCTGACTTATGTTGTAAGTAAGAAGACATGATGAACTTACCAGCATAAGTGGGAAACTGACCAACATTGTGAGCCACTGAAAAAGCCAGATGGTTGACTGAAGGTGAAGCAGGAGGAGAAGGACTAGGTGAAGGCACTGTCTGAAGTAGGTACTTGAGCTTATTCAGCTCTTCAGGGGAAAAACTCAAGCTCTCCTTAGAAGAAACACTTCGAGTATCGTTGCTCAACTTAGACTCTGAGCTTCCACCATCACTCTCATTAGAGCTCTCACCATGAGTAACAGCAGCTGCCACTCCACCAGACATCCTAAGCTTCTTGTTTTTCAGCCTGTAACACTCCTCCTTTGTGTGTCCATCCTTCTTACAATACCTACAAAATTTCTTCCCATCTTGAGGTTCTCCTTGAACAGCCAGTGCAACAGTTTGCACACCTCTAGTTATGCCCTTGTCTCCCTTCAACTTCTGTTCATGCTGAAGAACATCATTGATTGCAATATCCACAGTAGGAAGTGGTTTCATCATCAAAATCTGAGTGTGCACCACATCAAACTCAGGCCTAAGACCCTTAAGGAAACGAATAAGATAATAAGTTTCCTGTTGCTGCTTAAAAGCTTCAACTGCAGCACAAGGCTGAGTTCTCTGTGGAGCACAGTTGCAATCAACGATAGGGCTAAACTGAAGATGTTCTTCCCACAGCCCCTTCAAGGCTGTGTAATACTGAGTCACATTAAGAGTCCCTTGCTTACAAGCGATGATTTGATCCTGCAGATTAGAAAGCTTAATTGCATTTGCAAAACCAAACCGAGCCTTAAGCTCCTCCCATAAGGTTCGAGCAACTTCATGTTGCATCACACTCCTTCTTATCTCCTTATCAACAGAATTCAAGATCCAACACAGCACAAGAGTATTGCAAGCATCCCATGTACTGTAAGTCGCATCTCCCACAGCTGGGATAGCGATTGACCCATCAATAAACCCTAATTTGTGCTTTATTTTCAAAGCCATTCGAACAGCTCTCTGCCACATCTGATAATTAGCACCATCTAGTACTTCTGAAACGATTGCTTGAGAGATGTTCTCGTTTGGGTTGATATAGAAAGGGTTACCGAATTGTAGATCTAGACGATCGTTGTTGTTGTTGTTGTTGCTCGTCGTTCCAGAGTTCGTCCCTGTGAAGCTTCCAAAAGGAATGCCTCCAGGAGTATTTGGTGGCGTCGTCGACATGGAAGCGTTACTGAATCAGTGACCGCTCTGATACCATATTAGAACTAGCAGTAGCTAGGGTAGAGAAAGGAAGAAGAAGACGACGACACAATTGGAACGCGCAAGAGGAAATTGATTCCCTCTGCTTTCATTTTATATCAAGTTCACCCAGCTTCTGGTTCACGTTACAAAACAGTAGAAATGGAAATGCAGAAACAGAAATACAAATTGACTGTAAATGTAAAGCCACGTGTTGTGGCGTCATTCGTCTCGGTTGGTTCCACCCAACGGTAAGTAAATGAATTCAGCAACGGCGTCGTCTCAATCCTTCTACTAAACAGCTGGATGGAAGGGAACCCAGAAACGTTTCCGTTTCTGGGTGGCGTTTCTTCTTCAAGACTTTCACTCCTCTGCTGCTTCATTGTTCTTCGACTGCAACAGAGTATCAGCTCCTTCTTCTTCAGTTAATAATTCATCCGGCGGCTGAATCAAGCGCTGAGGAGCGGGTGGAGGGATCGAGCGACGGTGGAGGAAGCGGCGGGGATGACGGTGGAGCAAATGTGTGAATCATACAAGCACTCTTCACCTCCAAATTCCGTAGTTGATTTATGACGAAATTCTGATTTGTGTGGACTGTGGAGTTAGAGTATATAGTTTTCTCGGAATAATTTGATTACTATTATTTTTTAGCCAAAAAATATTTAATTCATTCAAATCACTCATCTGATCTGACGGTGAAAAAAAAGACAGCCTTGTTCATTCATCTACCGCCTTTCTGGTCGCGAGTTTTTTCTTTTAGGTCAATAAATTTCAATTTGTCATTTTTTCTTTTCCATCTTGTTCCAAAATCCAACGTCAATTTGTTGAAATCATTTCTTTTAATCTAGGTAAAATAATTTCACTAGCTTCGCATCCAAGCCGTTGAGCATAAAACTTTCTTAATCATTCAGCTAAAGTATGTTGTCCATCTTTTGCACAGGACTTCAACTAGGGCTGCAAATGAGTCAATCTGTTCACGAGCAACTCGGTATTCGAATAAAAAAAATTCATTTGACACTTGACTCGTTGTTTAACAAGCCAATTCGTAAGGCGATTTGTCAGTAAACGAGCTAAGTTTGAGCTAGTCCATGCTCAGCTTTGATAAGCTCATGAGCTAACTTGACCCGGTGGCTTGTTGAGCTAGTTTCTAATGTTCTTTTTACCATTTAAATTCTTATGTTTACAGATTTTTTAGCAAAAATGATTTCAAATCAAAACAGAGTCTTTGCCCTTGAAATCTGACTTGCTATAACACCCACCAAAACCTCTCTCTCCCAGTTAAGTGACATGAAAAACAAATAAAAATTGTTTTTAAATTTTTGCTTATGATGCCATAACGATGACGCTGGCTAAACGTTCTGTTATAGTATATACTAACGGTCAACACTAACAGAAAAAAAAAAAGGTTAGGAGAAGAATGAAATATTGAATAAAATAAGACATAAATGACAATTTTTTTGTATAGTTCGATTGTTGTAGTTATATTAGTCTTTATTTATTCATGTTGTTGGATGGTAAGTGAATAATTATGCAGTTAATGGTAAACACTAAACACTAATTGCATAAAGTGCAATCGCATTCGCGGTTAGCTACACAAGTACAAATAATTGGAGTCAAATAAAAACAGCGGAAAAAATCTAAGGCAGAGCTTCAGTCTCCACTCTCAAGTCAATGTTAAGCTTCCTTCCCAACCACAACCAGTCGTTGGCGTCGTTTCTTTCTTCTTCAATTTCTCCTCCATTTCAAGAATTTGCAGAAGCAGCGCTCTCTCTCCTACTCGCTTCCGGATTGTTTTTCCATCATCCGCTTGAGTGGCCGCCCGTGCATCAACCAAAAATCCCTGTAAGAATATGACATCTTTCTTCCCCCACTGTCTGAATTAGTAATTGGAAGTGGACGAACGATTTCAATTTCGCGATCCTTCGACAATTTCATGCTTGGCGTTCGAGATACCTCTCAGTTCTGGAATTTTATCGTCCTTCGTTTTCATGCTTCAACTATTTCAGTGTTTCGTTTAGGCCCTCGTTGTTCCTGATTTTGCATGCTTCTCTGTCTTTCTCATCCTTCGTACAGTTCAGAGCTTATAATCATTGACATTGGTGTAGCTACCTGGCTGTAATTCCTCTTGAAAGGAAATAATCAAGCAAGAGTCTGTACAAGAACTACTAACTGGTCTTTTGGTTGTGTATATTTGGGAGGGTGAGATTTTTGCATTAGTTGGACAAGTATGTCATTTTGTTGTGGCATTGCTTATGTGTTTGAGTGCATTTGGAATTGCACGCACATGGAATCTCAAATGCATCAAAGTGATTCAAATCTCAAATACTTGGGTAGAAAGAGTTGGGGTTATCTTTACACAATTTTCAGCATAAAATACAAGGAACCAAAAATAGCTTTAGTGTAGTTTACAGGCTTGCAGTGTATGGTATTTGATTCAGGATGGGTTGACCTAATTTTATCCTTTCTTGTGAAGAGATGAATAGAGGAGTTTTGGCAACGGCTGGGTTGGTGCTTCCACCTATTCTCCTGCACAGGCTATGGTCGGGAAGAAGACGTTCCATCCTCTCAGAAACTATTGAGGATGCCTCTCCAGAAAAGGGTTCTAGTTCGCTCCCCCTGCCCATTGGGGAATATGAGGTGTTCCTGAACTTCAGAGGCCCGGACACTCGTCGTCAAATTACTGATATTCTATACCGGTTTCTCGTTAACTTGAAAATTCGAACATTCAAAGATAACGAGGAGTTTCGGAAAGGAGAAGCGTTCCCGCCCAGACTCGCCAAGGCTATTGAGCAGTCCAAGATTTTTGTTGCCATCTTCTCAGAGAACTATGCTCATAGCAAATGGTGCCTTGGAGAGCTTGCTGCATTTGTCGAGCGGAAAGAGCAAGAGAAGGGTTGCATCATACTCCCCATTTTTTACTTGGTGGATCCGAGAGATGTACGGTGTCAAACTGGGCCATTCGAGAAAGCATTTCAACAACATGAGAAGAAGTTTGATGAAAAGACAAGACAGGTATGGAAAGATGCTATGGCCAAGGTTGGAGCTTTGGAAGGATGGCACATCAAAAGCAATGATGAGTATGCAACCTCACCCTATGTTTTATTACATTCTTCAATAATTTAATTGTAGTTTTTATCCCTTTCTTCTGTTCTTAATTCCCTTGATCTCCTTTAACTTGTTCCTTCATCACTGAAAGTAAAAAGAAATGAATGTTTTGACCATTATTAGTTTGTCTTATAATGTGGTTGATATCATTGAAAACCATATTTTCCAGGCAGGGAGCTACAGCAGATCTTATTACTGGCAATGTATGGTCACATTTAAGCAAGACCTATTCTGTAATAGAGACTGATCATCTGATTGGTATTGATCATCACACAGAAGCAATAAAAGAAAGAATGACTCTCGACTCCGGGGGTGTGACAATTGTTGGCATTCACGGTATTGGTGGTATTGGTAAGACCACTATTGCAAAGGCCGTTTATGACAAAGTGGCTGCTCAATTTGATCGTTGTAGCTTTGTGGAAAATATACGGGCAAGGCTACAACAAAAAGATGGTGTTGTCAATTTGCAGAAGCATATCATCTCAGACATTATGAGAACGCGATATGCCGACTCCATTGTCAATATTGGAGAAGGAATGAGAATTCTGAAAGATAGAATTTCTTGTTTCAAATTTCTTATTGTGCTCGATGATGTGGATGAGGAGTTTGGATTCAGTGAGATATTTGGAAAAATAGAGCATAATGTCTCGGGAAGTAGATTTATCGTTACTTCCAGAGACGTAAAAGTCTTGGGTACTTTAACGGAAGAATCCAAGCTATATAGAGTTCGCGAGATGAATCATGCTCACGCACTTCAACTCTTCTCCAAGTATGCTTTCAGAAAGGATTCTCCCCCATCAAGTCATGAGACTTTGTCGAAAGATATCGTGGCTGTTGCAGCAGGACTTCCATTGACAGTCAAGGTGGTAGGGTCACTTTTATTCAGAGAGGAGAAATATATTTGGGAAGAAAAACTGAAGCAACTAAAGAGGACTCCCGAGGAAAAGGTTGCAGAAAGGTTGAAGATAAGCTATGACGCATTAAATGACGAGGCAAAAGAGATTTTCTTGGACATTGCTTGTTTCTTCATTGAAATGGAGACAAAGTTTCCTTCGTATATGTGGAGTGATTGTAGTTTTTTTCCAACAATTAATATTAATATTCTCATTCAAAGGTCTATGATTGATATTGGGGAGGATAATAAGTTCAAGATGCATGATCAGCTCAGGGATATGGGTAGGGAAATTGTTCGTAAAGAAAATACGAAGCATCCATGGAAGAGAAGCAGAATATGGTCAAAGCAGATAGCTTTGGACATGTTACGTAATAGAAAGGTATTTTCCACATCTTCTGGATTTTGATATTTTTCTTAAGTGAATCTCTAATCTTTGTTTCATTTGAAATGGATTCCTGAACTTCACATCTTCTTTCAATTTTAGTACTTTTCTTAAGCGAATCCGTAATCTTTGATCCATTTCAAATGGATTTCTGAACTTCACATCTTCTTTTAATTTTAGTGAGGGGAAACAACTACAAAGGACAAACATGGTTAACACCTTGGGGAGCATTTTCTGCTTTCATTCTTCACCATTTCTGTTTTTGAGTTGCTGAGTTCTATTTTGCAGGGAACAAACCTAGTTGAGGGCATTAGATTAAATGAATTTGCGGAGGAACTTGGGAAGGAATGCTTTATGAATTTATCAGAATTAAGATACCTTGATGCAAAAGTGAAGAGTCTTACAGGTGACTGTAGCATGTACCTTCCAAACTTAAGATGGCTTCAATTGAAGATTAGAACTGGTGAGGTTCTTCCTAAGTTTTCTATGGAAAACTTGGTTGTTCTTGAACTCTTAAGCCCAATGAAAGATGATTGTGGAAGTTTGATGCATATCAAGGTATGATCTGTTACTCAATCCATACAGCTTCGTTAGAAAAAGAAAAAAGAAATGTGTTTAGCCTCTTTCTAATGTAGAAACTATTGCTTAAAGTTGTAGAAGAAGATGAAGGGAATTATGTCGGGGAGGTTTTAATTCTCAGTTTTGTGATTCTTGTATAACTTGGTAATACAAATGAGCTTTTGGCAAAAAAAGAGTGCTAGTGAGGAGTTTAGGGACTACCGCTCAAATTCATAAATAACATATTTTTATAAGAGACATACTTGAAAGTAAAATTGTTTTAGTTGTTACGGTTTTTAGTTTTGAAAAATTTATGAGGCTAGCCATGAATAGTTTTTCCTATTTAGATTGAAAAAATGTGCACTGTACAAGTTTTTTCCCCAATCCAAACTTAGACACATCCATTAATCTTATTTCTTGATTAACACTTAAACAACTCATGTGGTACATGTCTTCTTTTCTTATTTTATTCCTTTCTTTCGTTTAACTTGTGCAAGCAGATGGCAAACAAGCTGAAAGTTCTGAAAGTTTTTGGTCACTATGGCCTGACTGCCTTTCCTGAGTTTCCTCAATCCCAGAGCCTAGAGATATTACATCTTCTATATTTTGGCAGTATGTCGTCACCTAAGGACCTTGATATTGGGAACCTAAGGAACCTAAATGAGCTACAGTTGCGGAGTTGTAAGGTAAGGAAGATTAGGGGCGGAACCATCGGCATGTTGAAAGGGCTTCGAGTGCTTGAGTTCAGAGATTTCTATTGTAGGAAGAATCTAAGAGAAGTTCTTGCTGATATTGGGGTCCTGCAGTTTCTTGAAATTTTGAGAGTAGACGTGAAAAATGGTGGGGCAGAATATTTGTTCCCCTGGAGGAATTTGTTGTTGGGGATTAAGCTTCCAACAAGTTTGAAGGTGTTACGTACCTCATCTCCTGTTGCTAACCTTCCAGAGCTGCTGGACTTGGAGGAAATGACAGTTGAAGATTGTGACACATTTGGACTTGAGCTCCCGCCAGCCGACGGTGATAGTAATATGTGGTGGAAGTTATCCAAATTGAAGTCTCTCAAGATCAAGAGAACAAAGTTGTCTCTCCCAACTAGGCTGTTGCTTCCATCATCTCTAACCACTCTCCACATCTTGGAGTGTCAGGAATTGGATTGGCTCCCTAGTTTAGAGAACCTGGAGAACTTGACTCAATTAGTAATCTCATCCTGTCCCCTGATTAAAGAGATCCCGGGTCTTGGAAGTCTCCTTTCTTTGACTAAGTTGAGCCTTGTGGGATGCAAGGCATTGGAAAGGCTGCCCAGCCTAGCGTCTCTGAGCAAGTTAGATGAGTTATTTACATCCGCTTGCCCTCTTATCGTAGAGATCCAAGGGCTTGAAGGGCTGAAATCGTTGCAACATCTTACCATTGATAGTGCAGATAATTTAACCCATCTCCTTGGCTTTGGAAACCTCTTGTTTTTTAACAAGTTAGAAACCATAACCATAACCAACTGCCCTCTTCTCACATCACTGTCATTCCATGACCTTGATGATGGTGATGATGGCTGCGGTGACTGCCAGCTACCAGCTGTACTCTGCTCTTTACGATATCTGTCCATCAGCGGAACCATGTTAGTTCTGGATATCTTGTGCCAGATGCTTCAGCTGGCTCAGTTCCCTAGCCTTCTGACATTCAGTCTTAAGGTGATGGGGATTGATAATGTAGATGTGGAGTTACCCCTGGAGTGGATTGGATCTATGGAAAAGCTAGCTGAACTGACTCTGAGTGGCTTGGTCTCAGTTTGGAAACTACCTTTTCTGTCAAAGCTCCGAAACTTAAAGAAGTTAACTATCGCTGGTGCTCCAAACCTGCAGGAGGTTGAGGAACTTGCTGGTTTGAAATCTCTGGAACACCTAAAGCTCACTGGCTGCACATCCTTGCAAAGATTGCCAGCAGACGACTTGTCTGGTTTGAAACAGTTGCAAAGCATAGATATCAGTGACTGTGCAAATTTGGCTGATCAATTTACTCCGAGAAAAACAAACCTCACTGCACTCATACGCTGGTAACCTTCTGCTTCTTCATCCTTGACCACTCAGCCATTACCTTCTGGTTTGAAACTCATGCTCATATGTTTCTTGCTGTTGCCTTACCTTATACATCTGGCTCGGAATAAAAAGTCCGGATATGGTATTCCTTAAAAATCGAAGAAATAAAAAGTAAAATCATTGATAGGGAAGAGAAGAACGGAGGCTTGACAGGAGACCACCATATTCGAATTTGGGACCTTTCTCATATTTGAAAGGCATTTGGATTTTGTGTGGATTGGAAGCAAGAAATTTTGCTTAAAATTACCACGATTGTACTACTTTGTGATTCCAGATTTTTGTGGTTTTTCAGGGAGGCTGTTGTGACGATGCTCGACCCTGACATGCTGTGGGACAGGCCATCTGCATAATATCCCTAAATTGAGCAAAGGCTCTAATATCTCGTTGTTTTATTGTTGTCGTGCCCATGTTGCTTGCGAGCAAATGCCGAGGTGGAGGCATTGTGAAAATAATAATCTTTCAAAATGGTTGGTCCTCTCTCATCCCGCACCAAAGATTGTTCTTGTTGTTTCTTGTGGCTGGGCTGTATTGCTGTTTGGTAGTGATTCCTAATTGGTATTGTGTATCTTGCAGCAGCTGACTGAGTTTGCGGTTCACTTTTTTGGTACACTGCCTGTTTTCCATGCAGATCTGGCAGGCTTTACATTACAGTCGCCTGCAGATTGTTGGCCCTGTGCCAGGATGTCGTCCCTCCTTACTTCAGGCTCCTGTGTTCCAGGATCGTGCCTTTTCTTTCTCGTGCTCCTTCTGCAGTGCTGTTGTGATTATGAAGCCTTCATAAGCTTAGCCCAGATGAGGTTAGAAATTGTTATCCTGGGTTGTTTCTGTAATTTTTGCCTATTTGGACTTGTTTTCTTGTCCCTTGCTCTACTTTGAGTACAGGCCCCTGATGTAAACCTATTCTGCAGTATATATTCGAGGTACTACTCAGGGCATGGCTGGTCCTCTCTCTGCAGTATATAGTCAAGCACATTGTCCGGTAGACCGACCTACATGCCGGAAAATCATGAAATTTCTCAGGCAAGCTTTACAAGCACGAAAATTTGTCCAACCTTTGTCGGTGTGCCATTACTCATGAACTCGTCGGTCAGTTCCCATTTTGAGTTGTAACCTTGTGCTAGGTGCTGGTACGCAGAGCAATAGTGTTGAAGAGAAAAAAAAAGCTCAATGATACAAATGTGGGCAACAAGCCAACAACTAATGTGATCAAACTTATTATCTCCACTATCCGGAAAAAAACTGAAATCGTATTCCACCAAAGGGCTTTTTTCCCCACCAAATGGACAATCCTGTTACTAAAACGACCATAAAAAATACACACCAAACCCCTGAAAATGGCCCCGAAGCAAAGCTACGTCTATCAGAATGGCTCCTCCCCTAACTTTCGTGATGATTCCATCACAAATCTTATCAAGGGCCACCTTAGCATCCTCGGCAAAAGCTACCTTCGTAACACCACTCAACATACACCAACGCATTGCCTCCCTGAGCGTCACAAGCTCCATCAAGAAAGGGTCATCAATCTCAACAAACAACCATCCAGCCACTACGAATGCTGATGGGATAATCTAACAAGAATTTGGATGCCAATATACGAAAGTATCATTTTGTTACTCATTATATCTTATGCTATCCAATTGTGTACAATTGACTTTTGCCATCATTTTGTACAAAGGCATTCATATGGTCCATTTATGCTAGTTACTCTATATTTTGATTATCACAAAAAAAAAAAAAAAAAAAATCCTCTATATTTCTACATTGGAATTCGATTTTTTGGCCCGAAATTTGATTGGATTATTAATGAGTGTTGTATGACGTATAGATGTTAGATATCGGTGTGTTCCGGACCGCAACCTGTTATCTTATCTTTGTCCATTCCAGAACTGCACTCTCCATTCTCCACTCGTAAGTCAACGCCTTCCCTATCTTCCCTCAGTCGTCGGTTTCGTTCCTTTCTTCTTTCACCTAATCCGTTTCAAGAATTTGCAGAAGCAGCCGATATCGAACGCTCTCCTCTCTCTCTGTCTCGCTTCCGCATTCTTTCCCCAGTTCCTGTGCTTGAGCGGCGGTCGCCATGCATCAACCCTGCTCCCTGTAAGATTATTTCTTCCTTCCCCTCCCTCTGCTCTATAATTGTCGGATTATACCGATTGATTCCTTACTTGTTGATAATTAGTAGCTGGAAGAGAACAGAACGATTCTCAATTCGTGCTCCGATCCTTCGAAATCTTCCTGCTTCGATTTTGCCAGTCCTAGAAATTTTTTCATTCCTCATTTTCATGCTTGAACTATTTCAGTTTTTCGTTTAAGCCCTCATTGTTTCTGGCAAGTATTATTAACAAAAAAAAAATATACCAAATCAAACATAGGATCAGAGTAGTTTACAGTGTTGCCATATAGATTATTGACTCAGGATGGACTGGCATAAGTTCTAACTTTATCATTTGTTATGAAGAAATGAGTAGAGGAGCTTTGACAGCGGCTGCATTGGTGCTTCCCCTTATTCTCCTGCACAAGCTATGGACGGGAAGTAGAAGTTCCGGCGCCTCGAACAGTATTGACGATGCCTCTCCAGAAAAGGATTCCAGTTCGCTGCCCCTGCCAACAGGAGAATACGAAGTGTTTCTGAGTTTCAGAGGTCCAGACACCCGTCATCAAATTACTGATATCCTCTACCGGTTTCTAGTTAACTTGAAAATCCACACATTCAAAGATGACGACGAGCTTCGGAAAGGAGAAGGGATCTGGCCAAGTCTCGTCAAGGCTATTGAGCAATCCAAGATTTTTGTTCCCATCTTGTCAAAGAATTATGCTGATAGCAAATGGTGCCTTAAAGAGCTTGCCGCTATTGTTGAGCGGAAAGAGCAAGACAAGGGATGCATCATGCTCCCCATTTTTTACATGGTGGATCCGAAAGATGTTCGACATCAAACTGGGCCTTTCAAGAAGGCATTCCAACAACACAAGAAGAATTTCGATGAAAAGACCATACAGGTATGGAAAGATGCAATGAGCAAGGTTGGAAGTGAGAAAGGATGGCACATCAAAAGCAATAATGAGTACGTAACCTCTCCCCCCATGTTTTATTGTATTCTTGACCAGTTTAATTGTCCTTCTCCCTTTTCTTTCTATTGCTTAATTCCTTTGATATCCTTGGATTTTTTCTCCATCCATGAAGTTAAAATTACTGCTTTCGAGCATTATTGTTTAAGTTGGGAGTAAAATCAAATGACATTTCATATTAAGTTCGAAAAATTTGACATATTGGGTGCATATGTTGGTCCATCCTGGATTTTAGGATGTGCAAACTACATTATTGCTATTTGTCGATTGGTGTAGTGAGCTTGTAAATATTAGCAAATGGTTTCTAGACCTTTCAAATGAAAGTATACAAATCATTAGTTGAGATTTACAAACTTATAATATATTCATTTGACAATAATATATTGTATTAGTTGAAACTCTAGGTGCATGGATTTACAAACTCATAATATATTCATTTGACAATAATATATTGTATTAGTTGAAACTCTAGGTGCATGGTAGATGTACCCTTATTTGTTCTTCATTCATTAGTTTGTCTTATATTGTGGTTGACATCATTGAAAACCATATTCTTCCAGGCAAGGAGCTATAGCAGATCTTGTCACTGGCGATGTATGGTCACATTTAAGCAAGAAGAACTATATAATAGACACAGATAAGTTGATTGGTATTGATAGTCACACAGAAACAGTAAAAGAAAGAATGACTCTAGACTCTGGAGGCGTGACAATTGTTGGGATTCACGGCATTGGTGGTATCGGTAAGACCACTATTGCTAAGGCTGTATATGACAAAGTGTCTGGTCAATTTGATCGTTGTAGCTTTGTCGAAAATATACGTGAAATGCTACAACAAAAGGATGGTGTTATGATTCTGCAGAAGCATATCATCTCAGACATTTTAAGAACACAATATGTCGAATCCATTGCCAATGTTGGTGAAGGAGTCAGAATTCTGAAAGATAGAATTTCTCGTTTTAAATTTCTTATTGTGCTCGATGACGTGGATGAGGAGTTTGAATTCAACGAGATATTGGGAAAAACTGAGGATAATGTCTCGGGAAGTAGATTTATCATTACTTCTAGAAACGTAAAAGTCTTGAGTACTCTGACTGAAGAATCCAAGTTATATAGAGTTCGAGAGATGAGTAATCCTCACGCACTTCAACTCTTCTGCAAGTTCGCTTTCAGAAAGGATTCTCCTCCATCAAGTTATCAGACTTTGTCGAGAGAGATTGTATCAGTTGCAGCTGGACTTCCATTGACACTCAAATTGGTAGGCTCACTTTTATATGGAGAGGAGGATCTGATTTGGAAAGAAAAACTAAAGCAACTAAAAGAAATTCCTGAGGAAAAGGTTGCAGAAAGGTTGAAAATAAGCTATGATGCATTAAATAATGAGGCGAAAGAGATTTTCTTGGATATTGCTTGTTTCTTCATTGGAATGGAGACCAAGATTCCTTCTTACATGTGGAGTGGTTGTAGTTTTTTCCCAATAATCAATATCAATATCCTCATTCAAAGGTCGATGATTGAAATTGGGGATGATAATGAGTTTGAGGTGCATGATCAACTCAGGGATATGGGTAGAGAGATCGTCAGGAAAGAAAATATGAAGCATCCATGGCAGAGAAGTAGAATATGGTCAAAGCAGATAGCTTTAGACATGTTACGTAACAGAAAGGTACGTTCTACATGTCTCATTTGAATGATCTGTTATATGTGTCCGTTTGCTGCAGATATAATATAATTATATATGTTTAAAAAAATGTATACTTCAGGGTTAATGATGTTTTGGCTTCTGATTATGGTCCTTTCTCTCAAGTGAACCCGTAACCTTCGATTCTTTGGAAATGAATACCTGGACTTCGCAACTTGTTTCATTTCTAGTAAGGTGAAACAACTACAAACATGTTCAACATCGTGGGAAATGTCCTCAGCTTTGGCTGTCCTCACTTCTAGTTTTTGAGTTGTTGGTTTGTTTTCACAGGGAACAAACCGAGTCGAGGGCACAAGATTAAATGGTGTTGTGGAAGAGCTTGAGAAGGAATGCTTTATGAATTTATCAGACTTAAGATATTTTGATGTAAATGCGAAGAGGCTGACTGGCGATTTTAGCGATTATCTTCCAAATTTAAGATGGCTTCAATTGAAGATTGGAACTGGCGAGGTTCTGCCTAAGTTTTGTATGAAAAACTTGGTGATTCTTCAACTCTTAAGCCCAGTGATCGATGATTGGGGAGGGTTGACGCAGATCAAGGTATGACCTATTACTCCACCACACTGCTTTGTTTATTAAAAGAAAATAACAGAAATCAAGGCTTGATGTTTTCGTGGAACATGGAATTAACATTTCCTTAGACTTGTGTTTCCGAAAAGACATTCTAAACTCAAACACATCCAATGGTCTTATTTCTTGATTAATACTAAGACACTGTAGCACATGTCTTTTGTCTTTCTTCCTCTGTTGAACTTGTGCAAGCAGATGGCACACAAGCTGAAAGTTCTGAAAGTTTTTGGTCATTACGGCCTGACCTGCTTTCCTGAGTTCCCTGAATCCCAGAGCCTAGAGATTTTACATCTTCTTCATTTCGGTAGTTTATTGTTGCCGAAGGACCTGGATATTGGGAATTTGAGGAGCCTAAAAGAGCTACGCCTGCGGAGTTGTAAGGTAAGGGAGATTAGGGGCGGAACCATTGGGATGTTGAAAGGACTTCGCGAGCTTGAACTAAAAAATGTTTATTGTGAAAAGGATCCAAGAGAAGTGCTTGCCGATATTGGGGAGTTGCAGTTTCTTGATGTCTTGAGAGTAGACGTGAAATTTACTCTGGGACGATTTGTATTGCGTAGAGAGAATTTGTTGTTGGGGTCTAAGCTTCCCACAAGTTTGAAGGTGCTACTGACTTCATCTCCGGTTGCTAACCTTCCAGAACTGAGAGAATTGGAGGAACTGACAGTTGAAGATTGTGGTAGGTATGGGCTTGAGATCCCGCCAGCAGACACTGATAGCAATACGTGGTGGAAGTTATCCAAATTGAAGTCTCTCAGGCTAACGAGAACAAAGTTGACTCTCCCAACTAAGTTGTTGCTTCCATCATCGCTAACCACCCTCCACATCTTGGAGTGTCGGGAATTGGAGTGGCTCCCAAGACTAGAGAACCTGGAGAACTTGACTCTATTAGTAATCTCCTTCTGTCCCCTGATTAAAGAGATCCCGGGTCTTGACAGTCTCCATTCTTTGACTAAGTTGAGCGTTTCGGAATGCGAGGCATTGGAAAGACTACCCAGCCTTGCGTCTTTGAGCAAGTTACGTGAGTTAATTGCATGCTCTTGCCCTCTTGTTGCAGAAATCCAAGGGCTTGGAGGGCTGAAAATGTTGCAGCTTCTCAGGATTGATAGTGCACAGAGTTTAACTCGTCTCCTTGGCTTTGGAGCTCTCTTGTCCTTTAACAAGTTAGAAACTTTAACCATAACCAACTGCCCTCTTCTCACATCACTGTCATTCCCCGACCTTGATGGTGGTAGTGGTGGTGGTGGCTGTAGCAACTGCCAGTTACCAGCTGTACTCTACTCTTTACGATATCTGTCCATCAGTGGGACCTCATCATTTGTGCAGATCTTGTGCCGGATGCTTCAGCTGTCACAGTTCCCTAGCCTTCTGACATTGAGACTTATGATGATGGGGGTTGATAATAATGTAGATGTGGAATTACCCTTGGAGTGGGTTGAGTCTATGGAAGAGCTCGATGAACTGATTTTGGGTGGCTGGGCCTCAATGTGGGAACTACCTTTTCTGTCAAAGCTCCGAAACTTGAAGAGGTTAACTATCACTGATGCTCCAAATCTGCAGGAGATTGAGGGACTTGCTGCGTTGAAATCTCTTGAGCGCCTAAAGCTCAGTGGCTGCACATCCTTGCAAAGGTTGCCAGCAGGCGACTTATCTGGTTTGAAGCAACTGGAAAGCATAGACATCAGTGGCTGCGGAAACTTGATTGATCGATCTACTCCGAGAAAACAAAACGTCAACATACTCAGACGCTGGTAAACTGCTCCTTGACCATTTAGACATTAGCTCTATTAAACAAGCAGTGATTATATAAAATAAAACCTCTATATTTCTCTTCCAGATATAATAGAAGTCTTTGATGACTGAAAAAAACTCATGCTAATATGTTTCTCGTTGTTTCCTTCAATTCCTTCCTTGGAAATATAGTCCTGATAGAGTATTTCGTAGAATCAAACGAATAAAAATAAAATCCTTGATTGGGAAGAAAAGAATCGAGGCATGACAGGAGACACACTGGACTATATCATATGAGTCTCGTGCCTCAGCCACCTCAATTACAGCCCTGTTGACTAACGTTAGTAAACTTTAGTAGATAGGCAGTCGGAAAGAGGCACCAGAGCATGTTTGAATCTCCCCACGGAAAACACAGAGTTATCGGTAGCGCTTAAGTTGAAAGGCTATCCATTTGACTTATGTGCGGATTTGAAGCGCGAAATCTTGCATAGAATTGCTTAGATTCTACTAGTTTTGTGATTCCAGATTTCTGTGGTTTTCCAGGAAGGCTGCTGCGATGATGATTGACCCTGACTTGCTGTGGGACAGGCTATCCCCATCACATCTCTGAAATGCAAAGACTCCAATATCTCGTTGCATTGCCATTGTTTCCATTGAGCAAATGCTGAGGTGGAGCAATTGTGGAGATCTAAAATCTTTAAAATGGTTGGTCCTCTCTCTTTCCCCACCAAAGTTCGTTCTTGTTGTTTCTTGTGGATGTGCTGTATTGGTCAGATAATGTAGGCAAGGGGGGAATGGTGACTGAGTTTGCTTTTCACTTTTTTTGTTACACTGCCTGTTTTCCTTGCAGAAGTGGCAGGCTTTACATTACAGCCGCCTGCAGATTGTTGGTTATGCCAGGATGTCTTCCTTCCTTCAGGCTCCTGTGTTCCAGTATCGTGCCTTTTCTTTCTCGCACTCTGTCTGCAGAGCTGTTGTGGTTACGAAAACATCGTAAGCTTACCCAGATGAGGTTAGATGTTGCTATCCTGGGTTGTTTGTTGTCCCTTGCTGGAATTTATGTACAGGCCTCTGATGTAAGTCTATCCTGCAGTATTACTCTGAGGTACTACTCGTGACTTGGATTGTCCTCTCTCCGTACAGGTCAAGTTCTCCGACCCTGTCGAAAGCCGATAGAGTACGTAGTGACACAGAATCTTCTAACATGTGCAGTTCATGGGAGAAGCCTGAATTCAGGCGAGAACGCATCCCTTGGCATTTGCTCAATGGAAACAGGATTGGAAGCCGCCATGACCAAAAAATAGTAACAGAGACGATGACAAATAAACCAGCTGTGGCTACTGATACTAAGGCAGCATGCCATATTTCTCACACTAATAATGAACATATGCAAACAAAGAATTGGAGCTTCAACCCCAGCTAGAATCCCCGCCAACACTTGAACCATGACCACCCAACGTTGAGCAACTTGAAGGAAACGGCAACAAAGGAACCTCAACATAACCTTCCATCATTTCCACCACTCTCTTCATCGTAGGCCTAACCAAGGGATCCTCCTGAACACACCACAATGCAATCATCACCCACTTCTTCAACCTCCCACCATCCTCCGTCGCCGCCTCTTCTTTCCCCACCAACAGATCCATCCTGCCTCCAGCATAGCAATCGTATGCCCAGTCCGTCAGTATGGCCTTCTCTTCCTCCCCACTTTCCTCCATCTCCATCTCAACGCTCTTCCTGCAACACACTATCTCGAGCAGCATGACCCCAAAGCTGTAGACGTCGACCTTGGCAGTGATCGCCACGTTCTTGAACCACTCGGGGGCCACGTACCCTCTGGTTCCCCGGATCACGGTCTTGGTCCTCGTGTGATCAGACAGCAACAGTTTGGCCAGCCCGAAATCCGAGATCCTAGCTGTCATGCCATCGTCAAGCAAGATGTTGTGTGGCTTGATGTCGCAGTGGATTATGGGCACCTGACACTCCTCGTGGAGGTACACGAGCCCCCGGGCTATCCCCAGGGCGATTCGTGCACGATGGTGCCACTCGGGTTTCGAGAGGGCGAACAGTTGCCCTGCCAGCGTGCCATTGCTCATGTACTCGTAAATCAGGAGCCGGTGCGAGGCTTGGTCACAGTATCCTAGCAAGGTCACCAGGTTCTTGTGATGGGTTCTCCCAATCGCATTCACCTCGGTCTTGAACTCTCTCTCCCTCTCTGGAGCCAGCTTGTCCAATTTCTTGACAGCCACGGCAACCCCAGATGAACCACCACCTCCGGATCTCAATACACCTTTGTACACAATCCCAAATGATCCCCTCCCAAGCTCTTCCCTAAACCCATCCGTGGCTTCTTCCAGTTCCTTGTAGCTGAAGGAACGCAGAGTACCACTCATCTCCATCCCCCCTCCTCCTCCTTCCCTCACCCATTCCACTCTCCTTTTCCTCAATCTTAGCAGAAACCCTAAACCAAACAACAACATCACTCCATTAATCGCCACAGAACTCCCTAGTAATGCTCTCAACACACCTTTCTTACTTCTACCCCCATCACTCCCTCCCGCTTCAGGAAACCCTGAAGAAGTAGTAACTCCATCTTTCCTAACCTTGAACATTACTCTAACCAAAGTATTGTTCCATACCCTCCCATTCGACAGCGGCAACCTCTTCTTCCAACACCGGATTCCATCGTACACCGCCACCCCACACGCACAGTCCCTCATACACGAGTCCTCGCAAACGGACTCGTCATCAAGCTGCAGCTTCTCGTAGTCGTTCAACGGGAAGTCGACCCCATCGACCTTCCTGATCTCATAAACCTTTCGGGCATCCTCGACATTATTGTCGAGGACCCCGAATCCACACCCCTGAGGAGAATTCGGTCTGCACCCGGCCAACGCGTCTGCAGGATCTGCAGACGCGTAGCCGGGAGGACACGAGCAGGAAGGCCTGCTCGAGTCCCCCATCGAGCAGATTCCATTGAACCCACACGGCCCACCGCCGTACTCATGGAAGAAAGCCAGGCAGATGTTGTCAGGCACTGATTGAACAGGCAGCCATGAAGGATTCTCACCACCGGCATTGAAATTCCTTGGATGGGAGTACTCGGTGAAGAGACCATTGTAATCCAGGGTAGCTCTGTAATAAGAGTCCTGTCTGTAAGTCACGAAATCCCAGCTGCGAAGCGGAGCCACGTCACCGCTTCCCTTGACTATGTAAATCTGCGCTGTCCCATTGAAGACCAGACGGTTTCCCGTCTCTGAAGGATTTGAGCTGTAAGTACCACTGGTGTAGTAACGATCGTAGAAGGAATCTCCGGGGCGGGCTACAGGGAGAAGATCGAGGCTTCCATTGGAGAATCGAAGTGCGAATCTTCCCTTTGAGAAGTTTGTTTCCGTCAGCTTGGCATATAGAGTGGTTCCCAAGTTCAGGGTTTGGTTTGGTAATATGGTATCTGTAGGATTTCTGAAGCTTTCCCATAAGTAGCCAGCATCAGGAGAAGTGGAAGTGTTACTTACAAGGACGAAATTTCCTGAGTCGAGCATGGAAGCATAGGATATGGGTGATGAACCAACAGCGGGTTTTGCTTCCCAAACCAATCGCCCGTCTGGATCGGTTAGGCCGAGGCTGCTCGAGCTGAGCTGGACTTTCGAACCTTTGGGGACCGGGTTTTGAGGGTTAGCTGACCAGACGACTGTTCTGCTGGGGATCTTGTTGAACCAGATTGACAGCAGGAAGAGGTTGTTGAGTTGGGTGAACCCGAAAGCGAAGTCTCCAGATGGTGATGCCCATATGGAGTTGGTTCCATCATCAGCTGTTAGTGATGAGCTTAAGGTGATGTTTGCAGTGCAGAAATGGGGGTTGATGAAGAAGGGAAGAAGAAGAAGATGAAGGAAAGAAGCCATCTTTTTCCAAGGATGTGCATGAATGTTTGGTTTTCACCTGAAACTTGGGGAGTGGTCCTTTATTAAGTCCCCCCTCGAAAGAAGCTGCTTCAAAGTTTCTGATGATTAAGATTCAGCAAGTCAGAAGCTCACCTTCCTGTGTGATCTCAGTCATTCATTATGTGCAATGGACGGCTGAGATCGTTGGATCATGTCCCATGTACACACACCCTAGTCCGTCTTTTGACTGCATTAGGTTATTAGCAGATTAGGTACAAATTTGTTAGTGAGGTTGAGACTTGACTGGGCAGAAATGGTTGGTTGTTTTGACCATGTCACTGTCGAGGTGAGATGGCTTCTTCTTTTTACTGGGCAGAGTTTTCTGGAGAGGAGTTTAAGTTGAAATTGATGTCTATTTTGTGTTTCTGTAGCAGATTGAGAGGCAGCAGGTTTTAAAGGCACGAGGGCGACTTATTGCTTTGAGGTGATTAGGTTAATTTCTTGACTTTTGTAGTTACATGTGTTGAAAGAACGTAGTATTGCAATTTACCCGCAACTTTTTCTATTGGCTCGTACAAATTTCATGTTAAAATATTATTACAAGTGTTGATTGTGTAGTCTTTTCCTCTTGGAATTGAGGTAAATTACCAAATTTCAAAACAGAATAGGTAGAAGAGAGTGGAAGGAGGAAGATGCTAGATTGTGAATCATTTGTATGACTGTTCTTTGTTAGATGACTTTCTTCTTAGCATGGGCAACGATTTGGCTGATATCAGATTGTACAAAATACATTTGTATCAAACCTGACAGGATATAATTCGATTTAGATCCATTCTCGTCATGATTTCAATAGTGATGAGTCATCTAACCAAATGCAATCCAGATCATACTAAATCAAATTGAAATTGAAGGCATTCTTTATTCGGTTATAATTCTCATTTTTTCTATGCTTTTTTTTTTATCGGTGTCTAGATCAATTCCTTCTGATTCTGAACCACATTAGACCATGCCTTTTGTAGAAGTTAACACTTCAGATCTTGGCATATGTAGTGCAAAACATATTAGCTTGCTCATGGGTTAATTGCAAGGTTGGTCACTGAGATTACTAAAAACGTTCATATTTGGTCACTAAAAATATTTAATTCCATTTGTGGTCACTAAAATTAGTTAAACATCTCAAATTTGGTCACTCTCCGTCCAACTCCGTTAACTTTTGCTTACGTGGCAGTCAACTTTTATAGTTGACAGTTAAATATGTGACGTGGCACTTAAAAAATAATAAAATAAATAAAATTTAATTTTAAAAATTTTCACCTCATATCTAACTATTATTTCTAACTATTAAAAATATGCTTCTCTGTCCTAGAACTCCTTCCATCTCGACGGTGTTAATGGCACCGGTTCCCCACCCTGCCTCGCTGCCGGCGACAACTCATTATCCGCCTTCAAGCTCCTCTCGCCACCATCATGGACTTCCCCAATCTTCCTCTTTCTAATCCCGCCGCAACAGTCACTAAATTTCGGTGGGAGAATGAGTCGGAATTCCTACCGGCTTGGAGTGGGAAGTTGAGGATGGCTCTGCCGCCACGGAGACGAGAAGGCGGTGCTGTCATATGCTTTGGTGGTCTCATTCCTAGCCTACTTCCCTTCCATTGATTCCCTCATCTCCCACTTCCAACAATACCAAACCCCCTTCAACGCTCCTTCTCCTTCTTCTAGATGATACAGTACCTTAAGCTAGAGGAAGCCACCCGTGTCCAACATCTTCATCCCCAATCTCCCACCTCCCCCAAAGACCCGATCGACCCGAATCCAACTCCATACCGATCTCACCAATTATGTGGACAAAGAAAAGCACTACGGAGGGGTTTGACGAAGGGCGTAACTCGTAAGCGATGATGCAACCAGACTTTCCCCTCTCCGACTCCACCACTCCGGATCTCTTTCTCCTCTCCGATTCCACCACTCCGGCGAGTCGCTTCCCCGATTTATAAAGAGAGAAACCAAACCGAAGATCTTGCTTCCTATGATTCCAATCGATTTTCACCAGATCTTCACTACCTTCGGCAAACCCCATCCTCTTCTTTGTCTCCTTGTTTCTTCTTGAGTTTTATCCAAAATCAAATCCCTAGAGCCAAAATCACCAAAAAACCAACACGACCGATTGTGATGCCTGCAATTGAACTAGAGGAAAATCAATTCGAACGTGAAGATGGCAATATGAAAACAAAGAGATTGGTGATGGTGTTGAGGTCACTTGCTGCTGGCCCTATATCGCTGAAAGCCTGAATCTACAAGCTAAACCCACAGAGAGAAAGCCTCCAGAGGAATTGTAGTAACCGGCGGGTTAAGCCTTGGCGGATTCGATGTAGTAACCGGCAAAGCATGCGGCAGCGCCGCCTTCCGCCTCCGTGGCGGCAGGGCCATCCTCGACTCCCGCTCCAAGCCGGTCGGAATTCTAACTCATTCCCCCACCGAAATTGAGTGATTGTTGCGGCGCGATTACAAAGAGGAAGATTGGGGAAGTCCATGATGGTGGTGAGGGGAGCTTTAAGGAAGTGAATGCGGAGAATGAGTCGTTGTCGGCGGCGGGGCAGGGTGGGGAATCAATGCCATTAGCGCGGTCGAGCTTGAAGGAGTTCTGGGATGGGAAGCATTTTTTAATAGTTAGAAATAATAGTTAGAAATCAGGTGGAAAAATTAAAAAATAAATTTTATTTATTTTATTATTTTTTAAGTGCCACGTCACACATTTAACGGTCAACTATAAAAGTTGACTGCCACGTAAGCAAAAGTTAACGGAGTTGGACGGAGAGTGACCAAACTTGAGATGTTTAACTAATTTTAGTGACCACAAATGGAATTAAATATTTTTAGTGACCAAATATGAACGTTTTTAGTAATCTCAGTGACCAACCTTGCAATTAACCCGCTTGCTCATTTATACACAATCAAGAAATCATCAACAATCTGGGCTGCATAATAAGCCCAAAACTGCATATCATTAACCGGATAAGAGTCGGACAGGATTCGATGGTTTGTCTAGGTTATACAAGAAATTGCAGAGCATTGTGGATCAAAACATAGAGGAAGTGAGCTCAGCGATATCTGCTACAACTTGATCATAATCCGACTTCAACTTTTCCTGCTCCTCCTTGGCTATCTCTCCCTTGGGAGGCTTCGTTAGTACGAGAACACAGCATGTAGGCCTCTTTGTGTTTCCTGCGGTTGCAAGATCCTGCATGATGGGAGATTCGAGAGGAAAGACTATGAGAGTTCTACTCTCATAGAAGGGCTATGTAATCATCATGAAGCCCAAGAAGAGAAACTGTGAACTTACTTCTTTGGAAGGGACGTATATGTACGGAACTTCAGACTCTTCACACAAAATTGGAACATGAGTGATGACATCAATTGGAGATATGTTCCCAGCAATAATGCATATCCTGCATCGAAAACAAGACGCTATTACATTTACATACATCCTGTAGTGATATCTGTTTTACTTTACTTCTTTATCTATAAGACATGCCACACTATTCTATGAAGTTAAACAATAACATAAGCTTCATCAGAAGACAGCCTACACCGTTATTACATACAATCTTAACTCAATCATTCATCACTGAATTAAGATAGCTTCAACTCTCAAAAAAGCATTAGTCTATTCCATTAAGCTTGGAAGTGGCATTTGAGGAGCAAACAAAGCATCAATCGAATAGGAAGATTCATGGTTCATTTTTTTAAGCATTAGGTGTGCTTACCAATACAGCTGGTCTAGCAAAGATTCATGGTTCATTTTCATCAACATTAAACAATAACTACAAAAACAAAAACCTTACAGACACAACTCACCCTTTGCCACCCCGCCGGATGCTCTTGACAACCTCCTTCACTCCTCTTTTCAGGCATTTATGTTCAGCAGCTGAATCAAAAACCAGCCACCCAATGAAAACCCAAAAACCAAATTCATTCCAAGGGCACGAAACCAACTTGCCTAACCAATAGAGAACAATAAGAAAAGAAAAGAAAAGAAAAGGGTTACCTTTGCGGACGAGCTTGAAAGTTCGCTTGCAGAGCTTCTTGCCGGCAAGGGGCTTGGCTATGGGAGCCAGAGCTATGGCCTTCTTCTTCTTTTCTCCATCCTGCTTCTGCGCCGACTTCTCCGCTTCACTGTCGCTTCCCATTTTGCAACCTTAGAATCTGCGCGGCTGGGAGCTTGAAGGTTGTTGCCTTCGGCTTCTGCGCAGTAAGCTTTGGGCCTGTAAAACGATGGCGGAGCTGGAGATTAGGGTTTTGCTATTTGGAGCTGTTTGCTTTCTTTCTTACTTTATAGTCAGGGGTTTTAGGAGATGACTGAAGAAGAATTACACTTTGGTGCATAGCTTTTTAGTTTGTTATTAATTATCACCCACCCTATGAATTTTTTCGCTTTAAATATTGGGTCCAGCCATATCCATGATTAATAAAAAAAGCCCAATTATTGACAGCCCGTTAACGCCGTAAATGGACCCAGGAGGCCTTCTAAGGCACCCGTACAGTATAAAATCCTGCACATCTGGGACTGGCAACCAGTTTCAGTTTCTCCATCCAACGACGCCCGGTCGCCCGCTCTCGCCAGTCGCCACCAATTCGCTGCTGCTCCGCTTTCTCGTCTCCGTCCGCTGCCAAGTCGCGGTAACCTCGTATCGTAAAGCCCTTTTACCACTCCACAGTCAAAATCAATGGAGATAGAAGAGCGTCAGGCGCAATTCATCCAGCAGTTCGTGGAGCAAGCGTCGGCGATCGACGGCGGCCCTGCCTCTTCTCCCTCTCTCGCTCGCCTCGTCGTCGAATCCACCTCGCACCCTTCAGTCTTCTCCTTCGGCGAGATTCTTGCCCTCCCAAATCTCCTCCAGGTTAGGGTTCTTCAGCTTCGTCTCTTGTTCTTAAGTCGAGTAATCGGACTTGCGTTTAACAGCGGGACGATGTAGGTTCAAGGAACCGAGAATTCGGCGTACGTCGATCTCCTGAAACTGTTTGCTTATGGAACGTGGAAGGACTACAAAGGTAAGAGTCATCGTCGTGGCTTTCCTGATGTTTCGGATTTTGTTTCTTGCATTGTTTTCTGGTTTATGTCTGGAGTTTTGATTGGTGTTTTGACCTTGATTCTGGTAGGGAAATCGAGTGTACTGCCGCAGTTGAAACCGGATCAAATTGTTAAGCTGAAGCAGCTCACTGTGCTTACTGTCGCTGAGACTAGCAAGGTGATTAGCTTGCTTTCTGATTACAGAAATTCACTGTAACCTGCTGTTGGTAGGAATTAAATTGGTTCAGTCTTTGTTAGCTAATGTTGTTGCTGCCGCTTCCTCTAGGTTGTTTCCTACAATACACTTTTGGAGGAACTTGAATTTTCTAACGTGCGTGAGCTCGAGGACTTCCTTATTGATGAGTGTTTGTACGCGGTAAGTGCGTGTTCGAGTTGCGTGGTTTATGTTGAGATTCATATTTGGGGCTGCATTTTCGTAATGATGTTGATAATTGGATGTTTGATTTAGGGGATAATCAAAGGGAAGTTGGATCAATCAAAGCGATGTTTCCAGGTTGAACTCTTTTTTTTTTTTTAATGACCATTACTTCTTCAGTGGTGTTTAGCTTTTCAAACTTATGGCCCTAATGGTGCTATGTGGTCCTTTTCAGATTGAATTTGCAGCAGGGAGGGACCTGGTCCCCGGTGAACTTGAAGCTGTGATAGAGACTGCAAGAAATTGGTAGGTTTTATTCGAAAACTTGTACAGTTTTCATTATTAAGCTACCCAAATGTCTGCCACGGTATGGTTAGTTGAATCTGCATGCATGACATTCTGGTGAAAAAATGTTTTCACTAGTACAATGAATGATACATTGGGAGAGTCTACATCTGTTAGCAAAACCGAATGTTAAGAGAGTTCTATACTTCGGCTTTAACAGCTTCTATTTGTAATATCCATGTATATGTACTTCGGTGTTGTTAAAAGGTAATGCTGTTTTCAGGTTGGCAACTTCAGATAATTTGCTTCCCTTGATTGAAGACAAGATTAGACAGGCGAATGAAATGGATCAATTGGAGAAGCAGCATCAGATGGATGTCAAGGAAAGTATTGAAATAGCAAGGAAGAATCTCCATTCGAATGTGAGTTCATCTCGGCGTTTCTCAAATCCGGTATCTGTTGGTCTATATGTTAAGCCGTATGCTGCTTTGCTTTACAAGATCTACCTGTTTTCTGGTCTTCATTAGTACAATCCTGACTTCTGAGTTCTGTTTAAGCTGTGTAAGATGGAAGATTATGATTTCCATGTCTGGTCAACTTTGGAGCTGTGGAAATGCAATATTGTATTTATGAGAGTGACCCTGAGGATAATCACTAGGAACTTGCCCTTTAGTTTGTCTCTGATTACATATGCATATTGAGTTTCCGATGAAAGGATCCATTACGGAATGCATACTAGCTAGAACAGGAGTATAGTTACTGGTGAAGATATGAATGTGGCTACGGTCGACTTTTACGTAAATGGCCCATCTCTTTTGTTTTTACTATTGACTTTAGCTTTATGCTTTGCGAAACTGCTCATCCAAGGTAGTGTTTTGCGAAACAGCTGATCCTGATATCATTTTTTGCAGGGCCATCATGACATCAGTAGTCCCCGTTTTCTTGATGATGGAGACTTGGATAACCAAGACGAGCGCTTTCACTACAAAAAGTAAGTGCTTTCCTCCGATTACTATCTGGAATGCACTCTTGTCTCAGTCTTTTGATACCTCTTTAGCTCTTCTGCACTCTCCCGTATTTGCTGGTGGTGGATTAGGCTTAGATGATTCGACGTCTTGTGCCTAAAAACGTAGTACTAAACTTCATTTCTGGAAATCTTACGCACTTGGCCAATTGGTTTTAACTTTCCCAATCAGTCTTGATCATTTGTTGCAAACCACTCGGCCTCTGTATCACGCTGAAGAATAACTGATTTGTTTTGAACCATATGAAAAATGAAACAGGACGACGAAAGCCAGACGCTCTACAGGTGGACGCTCTGCCACCCGATACACCAGAATGTGAAGAGAAGGTCAGCCTCTGCTGCTGATCGCTTTTATTTTGAATACCCCTGTCTGATGCAATTTTATATCTCGGTTTAGCCTTCAATTGCATTTACAGTTACAGCGATTTAGTCTTTCAGATGTCTAGGTTTTCCCCCTTTGGTCAATGTAAATACGTGGTGGAGTGAACTACTTCTTTCAGTTCATCAGTTTAGTTTTTCCCTGCATAGCATATTTATATCCACAACGAAAATGGATCTATGACAGTTCCGAACGGTAATGGGAATCATGTCCTCGTTCTTGACTGGGAGGGGAGGTATCTCTTTAGTTGTTCATTCTGCTCGTAAGTTTGATCTTTGAAGGTCCCTTGCGGTGTTAGTGTTATTCTCACTCTGCGTCTGCGATATCGGGAATTGCAGACGTGTTTTCTGGGCCCTCGAAAAGTAGGATAGAAGGTTTGGGCTTTGGATTCCATGTACCCACATGGACCTTAAACCTTTGCAAGCCTGCCTAGCCCGTTCGATGCACGCTGGACTTTCGTCCCGGGATGGAAACGGATTAGCATCCGCATTCTGGATAAAATTAAGTTGACACAATATTTTTTATTATAAGAGTAATATGGATTTGATTTTTATAGTTAGGTGCTACTTGAGGAATTCGAATATGGAATTTTTTATGTTCTGAGAGTTGTGGTTATACCACTGGAGCAAGCCATTGTGCTCTATGTTGATACAATTTTAACCACTGGACCAAGCCCTTATTCACTATGTTGACACAGTTTTGAATGACAAGTAACCATTGAGTATATGGTGTATTGATAAAAAAAAAAAATTATTTCCCACCTCTATGGTAACTTTAACTCTTTAACGATGTGGTGGTCAGATATGCACTACCTTTCGGCAGGAGAGCTCGCTTTGTGACCAACTATTTGTTACGGTATGGTTATCCAGAATTGAAAGAACATTATTCAATCTACACAATGCAAGGAAAGTCTTATCGTCTCATATCAATAGTCAAACCAGAAAAAATAGTTGTTGCCATCTATGTTGGTATGGTGCACATGTTTTATGCAAAATTTATGCCACCTGGTTTTATGCGGTAAAACTAGTAACCTACAATAAAATCATATAGTTTGGGTAGATATTATACACTTATAATGATATGACGTTGGTAAAATATATTGATACTTTATTTAAAAAATTATATTACATCAATTAAATTACAGTTATTCATATACGACTTCGATCCATCTATTCAACATATAAAAAAAATAATTTATTAATACGTATGAACTTGAACTATCAATAATGATTTTTCTTTAGAGTTCTCTTCTCAAAATCTTTAAGTTTTTTTAATTATGTGGGAGTTAGAATTACTTCTGCTCCAAGCACCGCTACGGTTTCACAAATCATTGTGAAAAGGAACTCACAGCTCTATCTTTGAAAGAAAAAACATAAACCTTCTTCTCAGTTGAAGATGGGAACCTGTCAACAAAGATGTAGAATAGTCTATTTGATCTCTTAATTAATAAATAAATAAATAAATAACAGATATCGAAGGTCGGGAAAAAAGAAAGAAGAAGAAGAGGAATCTGATCTCAATACTCGACAGACAGGTGACGGCGTTGAATTGATATTATCTTAACTATTGTTGCGACTTGCGTGGAAGCAAAAGACCCATTGGGTAGAGTAGTCGCCGGTCAAAGTGTTGAATGTGACACACCAAACCCTACTTTGCCAAAAGAGGAATTGCCTGCAACCAACTCCAACCCAAGAGCTTGGTCCTGTTTTACCAAATCGAGGTTTGCAGAAGAAAGGTTCGATTGTTTTGCTTCCATGAAACCCTAATCCACCAAAGATGACTTTGTTGAAGGTTAAGCTTTGAAATAGAATGATTCATTTTAATTGTTGTGATAATAACGGTCACTCCACCCGACTCATCGGTCGAACCAATTTCAAAATCCAACTGAGTTTGTGACCATCACATGGTCGATCAAAAGTTCCGTAATTATTATTAACCAAAGTTCTAAAAGGCGCTAAGCGTAAGGCAGGCGCTCGGCTCCTGACTTGCGCCTTGCCCGATTAGGCGTAGCCTAGACGCGCCTAGGCGTTTAGAGCATAAATGGAAAACTTCTCAAATATTTCATGTTTTCTGGAATAATTCATATAACCCAAGTGCATATAAAATTAGCAATGCCTAGTTCTTAACAGTAAACACTTAACATAACAAATAACAAGCAAATAGTGACCAATCATCTGCTAATAGGTGCTTATAGAGGCAAGAAGCTTGTGCTACGTACCGAGGAGAAGGAAGGAGCAACAATTGACGAGTTTCGACTTTATTTCCCACTATAGCAGCGGAGCGGTGTGAAGGAGAGAAGAATGATCGATGACTTTCTCCTGCGGCGGTAGAGAGCAGCAAATGGGGTGAGAGCTAGGGCGGCAGGCGGCAGCAGATGTTACTTCCCATGTTTCTGATTTTCTAGGGCAAGAGGCAAGTTTCTGATTTTCTAGGACAAAACGAAGAGTATTGGGTTTAACCGCCTAAGCTCGCCCAGGAACGCCTTCTCTCCATTAGGCGCAAATTAAGCGCTATTCCTACCTACTAAGCGCAACCAGCGCCTTTTTCAACGCCTATGGCCAAGTCAAGGCGATCCTCCAGCGCCTAGCGCCTAATTGAGCCTAGGCGTGCGCCTAGGCGCGCCTTCTTGAACCCTGTTATTAACACAACAATTAAAAGGAATCATTCTAATTCAAAGCTCAACCTCAACAAGTCATCTTTGGTGGATTAGGGTTTCATGTAACCATTGTCTAACTAGCACATTAACCAATATTGTACAATTCACATCTAAAAATTCTAGGCAATCCTTGACTCTAGGATCTACCCTCTCGTTTAACTAGTTAATCATATTGATCCCGATAAATGTCAGAACCCTCTACACCACATGTTCATATTAGCCTCTCGCACAAAATTATATTATGGAGAATCCACCACTTAACCAATGTAAGCCCGATTGAACCTTAAAAATGTAGCTTGAATTGTCAAATCTATATATCTGGTTGGGTTGAGTTTGAAATCAACCTTTTATTCTCTTGAGTTGCAACATCTTCGTGTGAACATAGTCATTGTGCTGACTAGCACGACAACACGCAGTATGATACAAATTCACACATAAAATATCAGTTCTAACTCCGGAGTCTACCCCCATTTTTGTTACTAGTTTGAACAAAAGTTCAGCAGCCGTGATTCCAAAAGGCCGTCACACACTCCTCCGCGCTACATGTCCCCATCAGTCCTCATACACAATATATAATTGTGGCATGGATCTCCATTCTTTCACCTGCCACAACTTCTTTCGACCAAGCTTCGTATCGAGGACATATCTTAGCAAGACAGTAAAGCACCAAACTGATCACTCACTATATACGGATGTTCATTTCCTCCCCGTACCTTCTCATCTTTAATCATTGTTGTTGTTGCACGACAAACTTTAGTAGTTATTTATTGCATAGGCTCTGCATCGATACGGTTTACACAATCGACGGGAAAATGCGACAAAGTACTTTATTAGAACCGTTAATTTCCTCATCTCAACTCCTGCCACATACACACACATGAGCTTCTAGACCCAAATTGGTAGGTGAAAGAGGCACAAGATACCCGTTTGGGACCAAAAAACATGGCAAGAAAGGAGGAGCACATGTTGGGCGAAGGGGACAAGCAGCCGGTGGCCAGGCCAGGCGCCAAGGACGTGCGCAGTCATTTGGTCCCCGTGGCCGTGGGGGTTTGAATCGTCCAACTTCTTATGGAGACAAAGTCAGCAGGTCAAAATTTGGAAAGTCAAGATCCAGTTCCAAAATTCGGATAAGCTTTGTTATATATTAACAACATTGTCATTGATTAATAATGAAGTCTGTTGGCGGTTTGGGCCACGACCACACTCTTGTCCCTGTTCACTACTACCTCTCTTCCTGCACGTGTGCCTGCCTGCGTTCTTCGTTGTTGACGATTCCTCCACGTAACGTTGCTTTCAATCCATCTTGGAGTGAGGGCCGTGACCTGCAAGATGCTATTGCTAATAGTAAACCATTGACGGTAGAAGTGGCAATTGGATCGGATTCGTGGATTGGATTGGTGTATTCATGGATCAGATGGATTGGTAGATTGATCCATGAATTCAAATGACATCTCAGGCTTGGACCAAAATGTAAAATTTGAAAAGTTTTGGTACTAAAATGTCATAATGAAAAATTTTAGATACCAAAATGTAATTTTCCAATGATATTTTTCGTATAAAAATATAAATTTTAGGTACCAAAATGTAAAGTATAAAAAATATAGGTACCAACTCGTAATTTTTGCCATTTGGATCCATGGATTGATCCATGAATCCAACAATCCAATTGGATTTGGATCAAATGGATTGGATTTAAATGGATTGGATTAGGTGGATGGATTGGATTGGATTCATGGATTTGGATCCTAATTGCCACCTCTAATTGACGGTGTTTTTCAACCGATAAAATGTCCGGTGTTTGAGAAACCTTACACTACCAGTGAGTCGGATCGAAAAATATTAGATACTGAATGTAAATGAGTATTTCGATTTTAGCGCTAGGAAATAGTTGAACTTCGGTTAACACAGTTTTAGTACTAAATATCCTACCACTAAATTTTTCGGCACCATCTCCGGTATGATTTCACTATCTTGATAAAAGTTGGTTGCCACATTAATTTAAGGGTCACTTGTTTGCTTGCTTTGAATTATGTGATATCTGAATCTCGAGTATGAAAGCTTTTCTTTGTGTAAAATTATGTGGTCTATGAAGTATGAATTCAGATTCGAAAGATTTCTTTTTGTTAAAATTCTCCTTTTTCAAATGCAACAAACAAACGACATCTGAATTATGACGAGTATCTAAGGTTGTATTATGATATTCGCAACTTAAATACTAAAAACAAACATATACTATATTAAGAATGACGTTATTATATCATGATTGGATACATATTCCTGGTACATAACTTGTTTGAAAGTCAAAGAAGTAATAGGGGTAACTGGATAATCAAAAGCGACTCCATCCTTCACAAAACAGAATAGAAATAAATAACAGAAATAGGTCTTTTGGTTTTTTTTTTTTTATTAAAATGAAAGATCATCTGCGAACATATGAATCTGATTCAACGATTCGTCCCAAATATTGATTTCATGCAAATCCTAGTTGTGAGGGTCAAAGATGCATATTTTGGTTACTAAGATCAAAGATTCAATACCCTCTATTTTACTTTTACCAAGGAGATTAGAAGATGATGAAACAATAAGTGGGGGGGGGGGGGGGGAATACCCCAAAGCCATTCATTTTTTTACCATTAGTTGTTACTGTTAATAAGGTTAGGTGGTTAATGGGAGTCATGTCAATTTCTACTTGTACGATGTTTACTTTCTCCAATGAGGTGGAAAAACCACTGTCCAAATTCTATTGGATGGAATTAGGAGCTAGCTCGTGGTGGAAAAACAAAACCGTTCCATGATAATGAATTCGTTCGTACCACTGCAAAATTCCACATACAAAGTCCAAAGTAGAAACTATATGATGTAAATTTTCTTCAGTAGAATTAGAGGATTGTGCAGTTTTGTCAAGTCTCGTGGTGCG